TTTTTTTTTCTAGCTGGTAATAATTGAAAGAATGATATATAGTTAATCACTTTCTTTAGGCTGAGATCAAATATACAAATGATGTAATATTCTTATAGGAAAAAAAAGCTTGATCATATATATGAACAAAATCATTGACTGTCGACATGAAATCGCAAAATTAAAACGTCTATACCCAGGTAGCTAATTTTTTGTGTATTATATGTATGTGAAGTTACTCTAGATAACCTGAAAAAATTAGCCTTAGACACTTTTGTTCAGACAAGTTATCAGTAAAAAATACTAACGTTACCGATGTGAATAAAGAAAGGACGTCGACTTTTAGAAATAGTCTTTAAGAGCAATATATTTTGTTTTATACTATGATTTTTATTGATTGCATGATCACCGCAATAAGTATGTATATATGATGAATGATGTACATCTTTTATCAACTGTCGTTCGCCTTTTATGATATTATTATCATGATTGACGATAATATCATTTATTGGGTGAAAACAGATTCTTTGTCTATGTTCATTTATTGGACATAGGAAGTTAATACATGACAGGTCAGGTGAACAAAAGAACACATTCAAAAACATTAGAAAAAAAAACTACATATAGTGGCAATTTTGTAATAAATAACGAAAGCAAAAAAGTCGATAGTATTATTTCACACATCATAATCGAACTCATAAAAAGAAAAGCAAAAATATTTTATTATTATTATTTATTTCATTGATTTGTTATGACTTTCTTATCTTATTAGATATTCTATGACTGATATTATTTTCATTACTATTGGTACTACAATTGGTACAGTATTATTATTTATTTTAATAATAATATTAACAATTATTTATTATTATAAACGTTCTCATCATAATCAAACAATATCAAAACAAGAAGATTATCTTAATTCAGTGATAATTAATTCATCAATATCATCTATAAATAATGATTATCATAATAATATAACACTACGAGCATCAACTCGACGTTTGGCAATTGTCGAATTACAACAAGAACAAGAAGAACAAATTCAAAATCCTTTACAAACATTTGTTTATGAAAATCCTTCATTTAATTTAAGTGATTTAACAAATACAAAGACAATGCGATTTTAAATTTTTTTATACATACGTATTGTTGTTGTACCACCAGCAATAGCTGCTCTAGTACCACTAAGAAAATCATCAACTGATTTTGTACCCATAAAAGGTAATTCAAAATGAGTATGTGTATCAATACCACCTTATAAAAGAAAAAGAAAAAAGAATTTCTTTTTTTCAAATAAAAATCTTTATATTATAATTACCTGGCATAACCAATTTTCCTGTAGCATCAATTGTTTTTGTTCCACCTGGAACAACAAGATTAAGACCTATTTGTCTATTATGAAAGAAAAACAACAAGATGAGTTTATAGAAAAAACAAACAAATGAAACACTTACTTAATAATACCTTCTTCAACAAATACATCTGCAAGTGTTGTTCCATCATCATTAACCACTCGACCACCTTTGATTAATAGACGTTGTTGAGATGACTATTAAATAAACATAAATATTACATAAAAATGAAATAGTAAAAAAAAAAAGTATTTCTTTATGTATAATGTATTATTCACTTTCTCACCACAATATGATTTTTGCTAAATTTAGAAACAGATACACCTAATGGAGCATTTGAATCTGGATAATATGTTCGTACAACAAATTCCGGTTTATCTTTTTTTTCTGATGTTGACTTAACATTAGTTGAAGGAACAGTAACTCTTGCTCGTGTAGTAGTCGAAGGATTTGTTTCTGTTTTCATCTCTGACATACTAGATTCATTCATAAATGATTCGTGTTTTTCTTTCCTTGAACGCAAACTCAAATAATGTTATATGAAAAAAAAAAAAACAAAACACCAGCTGTCACCATACATTAGTATTGATCATTGTATCTGGTGGCATTGATGGAACAATAGTGAATAATGTTCGTGCATTTCCTGGCCTTGATACAGTCATTATTGATGAAGGGAAAGACGATAATTGTTGTGTATTTTTAATAACATAAAAATTCGATTCTGGATATGAATTATGTATTATTTGATCATTATCAGTTGTTGAAGGAATATAATAAAAACAAGCATCAGTTGAAGCTGATTGGTCTTCAACATCTGACAATGATGACGACATGATTCTAACGTTTCTATGCTTAGCTAAGTTCAGGAGTTATTTTGTTAGAAATATTTTTTCTATGATTAACATCTCGGCTAGGCATTTCTTTTTCTCCTTTTTTTTTTGCATTCTTTATCTCCTTATGTGTTCATCATGCGTTTTTTCTTTCTTTTTTTTTTTTGCTATTTTTCGTTCTGTCTGAATAGGAAAAGAAGCACTATATTATTATTTATAGACCTTATCAATAACAAATTTATTTATTGATAAATAAATATAATTTAAGAAACAATCTTACGTCATTTTTAGGCGTTGTTGCATTATTATTTTGTGTTATTGGCATTGTTCAAGAGATAAATTCACAAAAAAGAAAAACAAATGAAATCTACAAAAAAAAGAATGTTATACATAAGTTCAAACATATATTTAAGTAGATTCACATGAAATCTGTTGTAAAACATATAGACAAGTGTCAAATGAGTCGTCAACGACACCGATCATCACGTATACACGCCTACGTTACATATAATATTTGTTTAGTATATACAATAGAGATCAACGAACGGAAGTGTCACATCGCGATCACATAGAATGAATGAATGAACTCTACTGTGGACAGATCGGCATTCAATCAAAACTGTATTGAACTTTTTTTTTATGCTTGTTCTGTTCAAAGAACAGGAAAAGAAAAAAAGAAGCCTATGAAGCGCAAAAGGAAAATCTGATGAGTCATCATCGATAGATTAAAGAGGACATGCAAGCTAGTAGAGCAGCCATTACTTTCGAACAGATGCCTATTTAGATGCAAATTTTTCTATCAATTTAATTTTTTTCTACTAAAACGAAAAAAAGCTCAATCCTAAAATCAGACAATTAGAATATCTAATCAAAATTATCTTCCATTCTTACTTAAACTACTGCCATCTATTAAATAAAATCTTAATTTTTTTCGTATATATTTCTTTTAAAATTTACTTCAAATAAATAAAATTATTTTTTTTTAATTTTTAATTTTTTCTGTATTCGATCGAATATATCAATCGATAGATGTAATGCGTGTTTTTAATTATGGTCATGCTTTCTTCATTCAGTAGTTTTTCCGTCCTAAGAAATAACCAATAAGATTGGTATAAATTTTCTATTAATAATCATTCAAATGGATGAGACAACAACATCGACAACACATCGTGGTTCATTAGCAGAAGAATGGCATGATGCATCAGCAGATAATAGTCCAGGAACGAATGAAACTTCATCGAAAACCGAATCATCTGAAGTGTCAAAAAAGAAAACAAATACGGGAACCGAAGAAAAACGTTCAATGCAATTTAGTAAAGACATTAATATTGATATAGATTTAAATATAGGTCCAGCACCATTATCATCTGAAGAAAAAGCTATTAAAGAACGTGAAGATTGTGATTATTCAAATAAAATTACTTTAGATATGGCAAAAAATGGTACAGCACCAAGAAAAATTCGTATTTATGCTGATGGTAAATTTAAAAAAAATTATTTATTTCTTTTTTCAATGTTTAATTTAAAAAAAAAACATACAATTAGGTATTTATGACTTATTTCATGCTGGTCATGCACGACAATTAATGCAAGCAAAAAATATTTTTAAAGATGTTTATCTTCTTGTTGGTGTCTGTAATGATGATTTAACACATAGTAAAAAAGGTAAAACAGTTATGGATGAAGCTGAACGTTATGAAAGTGTACGTCATTGTCGTTATGTTGATGAAGTTGTTATTGATGCACCATGGGTACTTGATGATGAATTTTTAACACAAAATAAAATTGATTTTGTTGCACATGATGAAATTCCATATGGAGCTGAAGGAAGTGATGATATTTATCAACATATTAAAGTAAGCTAGATGATTCATTTAAGTTCAAGACGATTTCCTGCTTTATTCTTAATTCTAAAATTGAATATGCATAACAGCTATTGTCAAGCAACTAGAACTTAAATTTTGGCTTTCTTTTAAGGAGAATTTTTTCGATATAATAGTTCGATTTATATTTTTATGTACCAGCACAATCTCAAAAGAGTGTTGAAGTACAAAGGTGAGAATTTGAGTCCACTCTCTACGTCACAGGCTGTATATCAATAACGTCTCGTTACAATGTATGAACTACTTCCCTATTACATTTTTGGAGGATTAAGTAAAAATATATATGTAATCCCGCAAGGATTGCACCAAAAGTCTTTTTTTTAATAGCACGACCCAATGAAAATCATATTTGTAGTGTATTTTCGAAAAATTTCCTCTCATTTGATCAAAATATCATTGTAGATTTCCATAATATTTTTTCGAACATATGCTGTAAACTGATTTTTATTACCATATTTTTTATTATTTTCTAAGATTCATCAATAAAATGCAGATCAAATGGAAATCAATATATTATATATAATACAATATATAGAATTGAAGATGCATGAAAAATTGAAAAATAAGTCATAATGTTTGATTTACTCGGTATTTGTATCAGAGTAGAGTTGAAGAAAATTTATGTTTTTTGAGTAAATGTCAATATTTTAAATAAGAACTTAAAAACCTTTTTGAATCGATTGTTAGTGAAATGACCATTTAAATGTAAATTAGTAGTATCAGCACGTTTTTGCTGATCATGGGGCTTTATTTAGTTTGATACAATAGTGGCATTTCATTGCTGTCGCTGTTAAATTCCTAATGCAGAGTTCTTTCGTTTACAAGTACAAGAAATCCTTTGTTTGATGGTTGATCCTTTGTCCTTTCTAGTGAAGGATCTCAATCTAATTTAGTTATGACATAAATTTAAAGAATATAATATAATTGAAATTTCAGACGATCTTATTAATTTATATCATGACTTGCAACTAATCAACCTATAGAACTTATAATTTGATTTTTTTTCTAATCAAGCCATATGTCAAGTTCTAACGAATTTTTGTTTTTCTTTTACAAAGAATCTATAAATAATAATTATAAATGCAAATATATTTTTTTAGGCTCGTGGAATGTTTGTTGCAACTCAACGTACAGATGGTGTATCAACATCTGATATTATTTGTCGTCTTGTACGTGATTATGATATGTATGTAAGACGAAATTTAGCTCGTGGTTATTCTGCACAAGATTTAAATGTTGGTTTTATAAAAAAGAATCAATTAGAATTTCAATCGAAAATTAATACAGTTAAATCAAAATTTCGTACATATGAAGAAGAATCGAAAACATTTATGGAACGTTGGGAAGATCGAAGTAAAGAATTTATACATAATTTTATTGGTTTATTTGAAAAAACGGGTGTTCTACATTTACTACAAAGATCACAATCACCATTTATGCTTACAGGTGGTAGTCAGAGTGGTAGAAGTGATACAGAAGATGATGATATAATACCATCGAAAACTATTTATTCTGATAATAAATTTAAAAAAAATGATAAAAGAAGTTATGCAAACAATTAAATTCATCATCTTAACTATATACATTCTTGCGTAATATATGTATTTCGAGATCATTTAATGTATGATTTTCTGGTTTTTTTTTTCGTTTTCAAACAAATATTTATCGGAACTCTCATATAAAAATCCATTGCTTGTGATTTTGTTTTTTATTCGTATTTTATTGCAAAAAAAACATGAACAAGAATTTCATTGTCAAATCAATGGCTTCTCTTTTGCTCAGGAAATATAGTTAATCATTTCATAACTTTCGTTAGTAAGTAGAATTATAATGAAGAAAAAACATTTTTGTTTGATTCTCATATTCAATGTACGAAGTCGAATAATCATTCTTGGAAGAAAAGAAAAAGGGAGAAAAAAACAAGATAAAAACGAGCACAACAAGAATGAAAAAGAGAGTGCCACTCATAACATTGTATGAAAAAAAAAAAGTGCTCTCGTTAAGTTCAGTGTTCGAACGTCAATAATCTCATGTGAAGAAAAGAAAGAAAAAATTGCCAAAGAAGACGGAATATAAAAAGAAAAAAAATATTGGCCGTCTCAGTTGTTGCTCGGCCTCTCACTATTGAAACATGAGTGGTATGTACTTTTGTCTTATATTTTACCTATATAGAATGAGAAAAGAAAGAAATTTTGTTGCTAAATTCAATCTATTCAAACTCATATAGATCGTAATGTAGAGAAAAAGAAATGCATTAATTATACGTTTGTTAATTGTTTTTTTTTTTGAAAAAGCTTTCATGATTTCTTCTTTTTTTTTTCTACTGAAGAATAAAAAGAAAAATACATCGATGTAGTACTACTTTATACACATAATTATTTTCTATTCCATAGAATCTACTTTAGTAAATGAAGAAAACATTTTGCATCGATTATTGGACTATATTTCTTACTATAACACTGTTTTTGTCTATCTAAATAAGACACGATGACGTTAGAACTATATAAATATCATAGAATATTTACCAGTAATAGTAATAACAGTAAAAATGTCAAGGAAACTTTTCTTAATAGTTTTAGTATACATTAATCATTATTAGCAATTTTCATTACATGGCTATCTGTCTGCACTTTCCATATATTCGATAATAATTAAATTAAATTTCTTTAGATAATCAAATATTCATATTAAATAGTATTAGCTGAAGGAAATAAAATAATGAAACAAATTACAAAAAAATATATTTTCTCCAAATTTTATTATAAACATTTATTATTCTCTATGTCAAGCTTTTAACGAGTATTATGACGTACGATGAGAAAAGTAAATAATGCAAAAAAAAAGAAGAAGATAAAAATGACGTGTTCTGATAAAAAACAAAACGTCTAGAACGAAAGAGAAAACTCATTGAATATCTGTTCTTTCTTTCTTAACAGATTTTTTTAATCAGTATATATATCTTTTCATGTTTGTTTCTTTTTTATCATTCATTATACTGCCAATGTCAAGTATTATCCATCATAAGCTCGAGATAAAATAAAAGAAACCAGTAAGCATTTTCAAATAAATCTAAAAATATATTTGGTGATAGTATTTATTTCATTATTTATTATTAACTACTATATCAACTTTATTTTAAATAAGTAATGCTTTTGTTATTAATATTTTCAATGTAAATTACATGTTCATTGAAAAGTATAAGAATGTATGTCCGTATAAACTTGATTTGTTTCTACCCGAAATCTTAAGTGTTTTTTCATAGGATGATTATATCAAGTCGAATTAATAGTTTTACAGTTTCCATATGACTATTCAAGTTCATGTCTAAGTTTTAGGGCATCTAAACAAGAGTTCACTCTTTGATATGCCCTCAAGTTTTATGAATTTGTACTGAAACCTTTCAAATGTCTGAATATTACGTCATCTTTTAGATTGAGTAAGATGTAAACGAGGTTATTTAGTTTTCAGAGTCTAAAAAGGTTGAGTCTTCCAGCTATTTTGAGCATAGTCGTTAGTCTCAAGTGGTTAGAAAGTATTAAATCAAAATACTGCTTCTGAAACAACATTACCCATTACGATCATTTTTATGTGTTAACATTATTTTCTTTTTGTCTATCGAAAATATCATTATTTTGGAAGTAGAGTTTCAAGAATCTATTCGAATCAAAAATGCATTGTATTGTCTTAACAGTGATAGCTAGAACGAATTGGAAAAATGATTTAGTAGTTGAAAGAATTTCTATTCGATGAGATATTTTTCCAACATTCATTGAAATCTCTAGAGAAAAAAATGAGATATATAGAAATTCGATAGGAAATGTTTTGTAAATAGGCGTTCAACGGATAGTGCAAAGATCTTTGAACAAAATTTTACCAAATTATACTCAATTTACACAAAGCGCCGAAATAATTATTTCATTGTATTTATTTTTCAAAACATTGAAGCGTTTTACGCTTCGAAATCTTTCATAAATTGAACGCAGTTTTACGAAAAAAAGATCATGAGGAGCAGTGTTTTATCTAGCGGGGGGTTTTGGGACATTTCGCCCCCCCGGAAACCGGTTTTGCCCCCCCGAGAAAAAATAAACAAGTGTTAAAAAATATCAATCTAATCCTTAAGAATTTCTTATGAAAATTCTAGGAGATATTGTGACTAAATATAAAACTGTTGACAGGAAAGATTTATAATAGTTTTTGAATATAACATATCTATTGCTTCCTATGATTTTCAATTTGATTGAAAATGTTTCTTATCGCATCATTGCTCATAATATGATGAGAATATGCATTTTTCTTCTCTTCCTTTTCAGCATTCATATGAAGATAACGTCGCATAGGATAGTTTCTATTGAATGAATAATACTGTACATGTAAATAAGCGAATGTATGTAATTTAATTACGAATCAAACAACATAACATTGTGTACTATACGCATTAGATTAATCTAATAAGAATGTTTAGCTGAATTTGTTAGGTCTATATTACATTGATTGACTTCAAAAGATCAGAAATGTTTCAAATGAACACACCTATATATCTTTTTTTCATTTATTCATTCACACTATAGTATCGTATTTTTGTACTTTTCTTTTCCATCTCCTCTTTCAAATCAAATAGCGATTATAAACTCATCTTGAGAATGTCAAAACAAAGTTCTCTCAATAAATATTTTGGAAAAACAAAAGAAAATAATGATGTTGCTAAGTTAGCAAAAAGGAGTCGTATTGAAAATCAAAATATCATTACTCAATCAAACACTATTGCAAATAACTCGTGCGACTGGAAAAAACTAAAACCGCGTCGATTAGCTGTTTGAGTTATACGATATGACTTTTCACATTGTTTTTATAATTTTCTACCTTTTCTTTTGGTGTATTTATTGCTATTTATTCGTTGTACATGTTATACATATTTTTCAATTAAATGAAATAATGGAGTTGTGCATTTTATAACTTAAAGAACGCGATCTGTTGAAAATGTACATATTACGACTCGACTACATTGATTTTAGCTACTTGCTTACAAACCTATGTCTGCCCCCTCGACAACTAATTTTGCCCTCCCGGAGCAAAAAACCTGGATAAAACACTGATGAGGAGCTCGGGAATGTTTCATTTTACTTAAACATTTTTGCGCAATGAGATCAATCTCTGTACAAAACTTTTTCAATAGAGTTCAAAATAATATTTGACAGCCAGTTGCAAAGAATCTGTCTGGCAGAAAGTGACTGAGAAAGCTGCCTTCTTAAACTTGGCAATAGAGTCCGTCGGATCGATTCGGTTCGAAAATTGTGAGCCCGACAAGTTCTACTAGGCAGACAATTGTCCGACAACAGCGCAAAATTTTCGTAGATATGACGTAAAAAGTGGAAGGCTAGCCCACCCACATCGAGATCTATGCTTCCACTCACATTCAAATATTTTAATACAAACTGAAAAAAAAATACCTCTTTCAATAGAGAATTCTTTTAATCACAGCAATTCGTTCTAAGTATTACCATAAGGAAAATATTTTTGAAAAATACAACTGTACTAAACGTTTTACTTCTACTTTGTATCATAATCTAATTATAAGATTTTATTACATTATATTCAAGCAGTCTAAAGAAAAATCAATCTAAATATTGTATTTTTGCTATGAAATAGAGCATGTAAAAAATCACTGATTATATTGTAATTTTATCAATGATATTTATTTTTCTTTCTCAAGCTATGACATCATTTTAATATCAATAAGATAAAATAAATAACCCATGTAATCGATGCATAATGTGAAAATTAAAATGTTCAGTCATAGTTGTGTCAAGAAAAATAAATTCTATTGATCAAATTATGATATTTTCAATGATTTTTATATGTTTTAATTGATTGCAAAAAATTTGCTATTCACTAATTTTTTTTTTTCGTATTACTTGAACATAACACAATAAAGTCTTTTATTGAAAATCAATCATGCAGAAGTGTATATTTGAATGTTTTACATTTTTCAAAATAATGTTAGTCTACGAAGACGATCATAATGAACAAAGTTTTACGAATAGAATTTTATTTTAATGCTTTGTAAACATCGGAGATGCTTGGAATTTTTCTCTGCAAACTAATAAAATTAGAAAGTATTCTCTCCCTTAATATTCAAGTCATGTGGATTCTTCATGGATAAGCTCCATCAATTGCTCTTCAACAAGATATCTGGATTATATCTTATCGCTCTCAAACATATGCGTCCTTGAGAAATATATCTAAATAATTGAGACAAAGTCTACACAGATTAATAATTCTAAGATTTCAAATAAGTCCTTGTCTTATTTATGTTTTTTTTTGCTTTGATGATAATTCTAATATTCAAATAAATTATTTTCTATCTAGTATTTATTCTATTGAATTAATTTCTACAAGTTTATATTAATATCTATGCACAAATTAAAATAACATTATATTAGAAAATGGATAAACGTATTCATATAAGACAATCAACAAGCCTTACTTTTCGAAATTATTTAATTCATTTTAAGTGGCCTTTATTAGGATTTATATTTTTTATAATTTTTATTTTATTAAATAAAATGAAATTTACTTTAAATAAATTTTCTTCCATTGAATATAAAGATGATATTGAAATTTCATTTACGGATGTTATATATCCAATTGATGTTTTAAATCAAAGTCATCTTAATACAAGTATTTTATATTATTTTGCAAGAAAAGAAGAACAAAAATTAATTGATGATGAAAAATCAAATAATAAAAAATATAAAACTATATTACCATTAATAAATAATAAATCTTTATCAGAATCTTATTTAATACTTGAATTTACACATGTCTTTGGAAAACCACGTTTTTGTTCACATTCAAAAGAAGACATTTTTGGTAACACATGTCCTTATACAAATTGGTAAGTTGAATGAATATTGAAAATAAATTAGAAGAAAAAGAAAATATTGTTTTTTGTATTGAATTAGTGAATATACATGTAATCAAAAACATGAACAAGATGCTGATGTACTTTTAATGCATAAACGAGATTTAGATTCAAAAAAACTTGAAACATTGAAAAGAAATTCAGAACAAATTTGGCTTTTATGGCATGATGAACCAAATGAAGATTCACCAAATATTAATAAATATAAATTTAATTGGACTATAACATATCGAATGAGTGCTGAAGCATCATTAGCTGCTTATGGTATAACAGTTGTGAAAAACAAACCATGGTCGATGGAAAAATTTAATTCATGGATTAATGAACAATTTAATAAAAGATATAATCAGGCAGTCTGGTAAAATTTTAAGAATTTAGATAATCTGGTCACAAAGCATGTTTTGAAGTCTATTAGAGGTCGTATCGATTCATTGTCTGTTAAGAAAAATCGAAAAATATTTCGAAAGGAACGGGTGATCGTTCACAACATTACTCGTTAAATTCGCCACAAATAGAAGAGAATAACTGTCATACGATAATGTATAATGTCAATAGATATTGTCAGTAATAAGATAACTACATGTTATTTTATTTATATAAAATTACTTCTCGAATGGATTAGATTAATTTTATTAAAACAGCAAAAAAAGCTTTGTTGTCCATGGATTGTTATAGGTTTTGTTAATTGAATTTTTTACCGTTTAAAGTTACTGAAAAAAATTGAGAACAAAACCTTGTTGAACAATTTTGGTAGCCACCGCTATGTCTTGATTTCAAAAGATGACTGTATTAGTATTCAATATGTCAATCTAATCATAGTTTATAGATAAATTAGAGTTACAAATGGATGATAATGTTCGTACAGCAGTCATTTACATTATATTTTTTTAAGCAAGATTAGTTCGGAAACATGTACCAGAGCTGCCGATCTGACCTAGCAAAAGAACTTGTTTAGATACAAAACAATTCGATAGTAAATTTTGCGTTCGTGATGTTTCGAGACGAATGAACTGTTGTATCAAGGAAAATATATAAAAAATTAACAGTACTTCAATAGCTTGATGCCAATCTTCAGAAGAATGTGGGTGTGAGTCAAGAGAAGGCGAATACCAACACACAAAAATAAAGAAAGGTATCAAATATGAATTCCTTGATGAAAAATTACAATAACTAATTTTGAATTTTTATTTGATAATAAGACACTTATCCTTTAAACGAACATGAGCTCTACTCACTTATTTAAATACAATTATTTTCGTATATTTCTTAAATTTTCCTTATGTCAGACTTAACTGTCGTGTTATCCGTCCTGATTTAGTCTTCAGGCATTCCGAGCCAAGCCAGCTCAGAAAAAAGTGTCGCATTATCAACTTTGACACGTACTGGTTTAAAATCTGCATTGATACGAGTTCCTGTTCAGTTGACAAGAAATAATCCAATTCTGGTGCTCAATAGTTGTTTCCATTTACCGAAAGTATATCTTTCATGCTTTGGATTCATGCCTCTTTTTTTCCTTTAGGTTTGTGTCTAACTGTAAACCACAAAAACGTCTTAAAAAATTTCGTTCACTTCGACAACATTATCCAATTGCAGCTTTTGGTAAATGTATTCCATTGAATGAAACTGTATCTCTTAATGCAGATATTCAATCCAAAACTGAATGTAATCGTAAATCAAACTGTGAAACATTTCAATTAACAACATCAAAATTTTATCTTGCTTTTGAATCACAATCGTGTACAGATTATATAACAGAAAAGTTTTGGCGTACACTTTCTGTTGGTGCTATACCAATTGTAAGTGGACCTGAACGAGAAAATTTTGCACGAATTGCTCCACCTAATTCATTTATTCATGTTAATGATTATTCATCAGATGAAGAATTAAGTAAAGCATTAAATTTAATTGGTACAAATCGAACATTATATGGAAAATATCATGTATGGAGACGTTATTATGATGTTTATTATCAAGCAAAAGACGTTGATCCGTATCGATTTTGTGAATTATGTTATCGTTTAAATACAAATAAACAACGTATTTGGTATGAAAATATTAACGATTGGTTTTTAGAAAAATGTTGACATAAACAGAAATATATTCTAAGTCAGATTCAAATGTAAATCATATGTTATCTTGTGTGACAATTTTTTTCTTTTTAGTAATAAAAATAATTT